CCCCCGCCCCCAGTGACCTCACACTGCTGCAGGTACCACCCCATCCCATTGCCCCGCCCCCAGTGACCTCACACTGCTGCAGGTACCGCCCCCATCCCATCCCTCCGCCCACAGTGACTGCTGCATCTCGTCCTTTTATCGATTCTGACCCTCGGATTCTTCCTCATTCTGGTGCCCTTGCCTGTGTGTAGCTGCAGCGCAAAGCCCGTCGTGACGGGTACGTCAGCCTCCTCCCCCTGCCCGAGGACCAGCAGCGCGTGAGTCCGGGGACCGGTTGCAGCATCGCCGGCTGGGGCCGGACCAGCGCCGCCCACAATCTGACCTCAAATGTGCTGCTGGAGGCCGACGTGGTGGTGATGCCGGACGCCGACTGTGCTGTGGGTGGGGGACCCCGCGGCGGGCAGAAGCTCTTTTGAGGTACATTTCCCCCTCTCCTGCCTGCTCCCTTCAGTCATTTTTGTCAAGTATGAGGTTGTGAGGGCTGCAGTCGGGCCTGAGACAAGATCAGAGGTGGGGCCCTTGTGTGCTTGGAGCTGTACAAATAAAAGGCGAGCTAGGACATTGCTAGGCGTGCAAATGTGTGCAGCTCACACTGGTTTTTTGTCTGTTTTTTTTCCAGGGCGACTCTGGGGGCCCCCTCGTGTGTGGGCAAAAGGCCCAGGGCATCGTCTCGTGGGGATCCACCGATGGCATCCCCCCGGCTGTGTACGCGAGAGTCTCCACCTTCCTGCCCTGGATTCAGGAGACGATGAGGAAGCTGCAGTTCTGAGCCACCGGAAAGCACCGAACAGCCTAGAATTGCACCACCGCTGTGTCGTGGCTTGGCCCAGGTGTAGGACTGCTTTGCAATGGGGGGCTGAGTCCCCGTCCCCTGTCCTACCCAAGCCATGGCTCTCTGCTCAGGCAGCGCCAAAGCCCTGGGCATCAAGGAAACTCCGGGAAGGGAACGCCAGGAAAGCCGGGCTTAACTGCTTGCACGTCAATCCCCGGCGCTGATCAACCGCTTCCCTCCTCCCCTGCCCTGCCGCACGGCCCACACCAAGCAGTGAATAAAAATGGTACCAAACCGAGTGATTCTTCGTGCCTCTGGGGTTCCCAGACCCGCCCCCCCCGACATGGCCGCCCCTAGCGCGGTGACAACCGGCTTGTGCCGAGACTGAAGTGGGAGACGCTCTAGAGAAAAGGCGTTTGGGAACACATGGTACGGTTGCACGGGGAATCCAGCCTGGGGTCCCCCGTTCCGAGCCAACACGGCCCACGGCAGAAAGCCAACCGCACCCGTCCCCGCCCGGCACAGGGACCCAGCGCGGGAGGTGAGCACAGGGGACAACTTCCAGGCATCTCAGGGTCTGGCTGGGAAATGAGGTTACAACCGGCCCTAGCGGGAGCGAAACTCACACCCAGCTGAACAGCCTGGATTCTAGTGATGAGTTTGTCAGTTCTTAGCTAACACCAGCTTCTGGGGCCTGCCAGGGACCCACCTCCCACACTGGCCAGGGAGCACAGATAGATCCCTCCTATGGGGTCTCTGATCGGGGCCCGTGGCTGGTCTCCAGCCCCACCCGGCTCCCAGCTGGGCCACGGTGAGAAAGATCCAAGGGCCCCGTTCAACCCTGTCCCCAGATCAGCCGCTGTCACACACAGCCCGCACCAGGGACTCAGGCAGGGGGCTGAGTGTAGATGGGCCCAGGTGAGTCTGAGCCCCAGATGTGCCCAGCTGTGAGCCGGCACCCGGAGCAGCCCTGGACCCTGCTGGACACGTCCCCACCGGGGGCTTCTCCATCCAGCGTGTGCATGCTCCCCAGCTGCTGGGCTGACGCAGGGCCGGCCCTTCCCCCCGTCCATGTGGTCGGCTGTGGTTGGAAACTGAGCTGTTTGAACGCTACAGCAGATGAGCGTGTGAGTGACCTTGAGTTTCCTGCCCACCTTCCCTCCCCCGTTCTTCCCAAGCTGAGTCTATAAAGCACCCAGGCCTGCGATAGATGCACCGACTCTGCACTGCCTGAACATGCAGGTGCAGATCTTGCTCCTGTTCCCCATGGCTTTTCTCCTGCCCCCCAAGGCTCAGGCTGGTGAGTACTGAAGGGATTGGCACCCCTGGATATTGGGGGGGGGGAGGAGACGGGGAGGTTCCAGGATTCAATCTGTGATATCGCAGGACATGTGACAATCTGTACCCCAATGCTCACCGCACCTACAGAACAGAGCGTGCCCAGTGTGGGATCATCCGGAAACCCATAATTTGCTGATCATTATTGTCCTAATAAAACAGGAGTGGCACATTGTGTTGTAAGTTGTGGCTGCTGGGTGTTACTACGACATCTTCCAAATCGGAACATTCAATCTGTGATATCGCAGGACATGTGACAATCTGTACCCCAATGCTCACCGCACCTACAGAACAGAGCGTGCCCAGTGTGGGATCATCCGGAAACCCATAATTTGCTGATCATTATTGTCCTAATAAAACAGGAGTGGCACATTGTGTTGTAAGTTGTGGCTGCTGGGTGTTACTACGACATCTTCCAAATCGGGGGAACAGTCACAAACCGGTTCCCCAGAGACAAAAGGCTAATTGACGTGCCAGCCACACACGTCTGCTGGTAGGCCCCCAAATCCCAGAGGCAGCTGTAGGAACAATCTCCCTGAGCCTCAGTTTCCCCATCTGTAGAATAAGAGGCATCCACTCATGTCTGTCTCCACTAGGCACTAGTGGGGCAGGGCGTGTGGGGCAGACAAGGAGTTCTGAGGAAAAGGCCATTCATGTCCAGCGCCGGTGGAGGAATCAACCAGCAGTCCCACAGGGAGCCCAGTATGAGACAGAGTGGGGCAGGGATCCAGGCTCAGGGAGAGCATCATAGGGGTGGGATGAGGCAGTGGGGGGTCCCAGCCCAGGAAGGTGAGGGGGCTCTTTGTGTGAACCTGCTCTCCCCCCAGGCGAGATCATCGGAGGATGGGAAGCCCGGCCCCACTCCAGGCCCTACATGGCCTTTCTGGACATCCAGCGTGGAAAGGAGACTTTGCGCTGCGGCGGCTTCCTGGTGGCGGAGAACTTTGTGCTGACGGCCGCTCACTGCCAGGGAGAGTAAGTGCCTCTGGGCTGGGACCCTCTTGCCCAACCCCACAGCACCTATGCTCTTGCCCCATCCCTCACGGCAAACACCCTCCTGCCCCTAACGCCAAACATGTTGCCTTTAAAGCAAAATCACAGTGTGCCTGGGAGCGCATGACATCAGCCAACCAGAGCTCACCCAGCAACGGATCCCGGCGCTTCTCCAGATCCCGCTCGAAGGGTATCACAGGCACACGCTAACGAATGACATCATGCTGCTGCTGGTACTCATGCCTCCCTTCCCCCCACCCCAGTGACCTCACCCTGCTGCAGGTACCACCCCATCCCATCCCCCACCCCCAGTGACCTCACACTGCTGCAGGTACCGCCCCCACCCCATCCCCCACTCCCAGTATGGTACTCCTCCCTCTCTTC